GGAAAAGTGTACAAAACCAAGTTCTTCTCAAGAGTTCCACAAAAATTTTAAGTTTTAAACGACTATTATAGACTCTTTCTATCGTATTGATACTTATTAAGTTTCGTGTTCTCAGAAAATACTTCTGGTTACCGCCAGCAGTTTACTAAATCATAAAGGCATAATTAATTCGGGAAACTGCTTTACATTATAAGTAAGTAAAGGATTTATAGGCTTTTAGGTTTCGTATTACTTGTCGTATTTCAAACGACTTTAGACGTACTTTAATTGAACATTGGGAACATTGAAGGTGGTTTTCCACCGGCGAGGCGAGACGAGATGAAAACTGAAATCTCGCTGGCCTATTTCCATTAAAAATTGCCATTAATAGCTCGCGCTGTGGTTGTGGATAGTGACAATTCAGTGTTGTTCAGTTCGTTTAGCGAAAAAACGCGCGGCTGAAGTACCTAATTTTTGCCATATACAAATTTCAATCCTCGTCTCGCCTCATCCCCTTTCTCCTCGCCAGTTAAAAAGCACCTTTAGTATTTCATTGATGGGTTTTCTAATGTGTGGTTAAGCCGTATAGTAGGGCTTACCGCGAGCTTTATTCTTGTTTTAATAGCTGTCGCTGTGGGACTTATTCCAGTCTGAAATAAAATTACGCAAGTGCAAAACCGAGTTACTTCCTTTTGATGTTAACTAAATCGTTATATCTATTAGACGTTTTATTAAAGCTAGACTAACACATAAGTAGACGGCAGTTATACCTACCCAGTTATTCATTTTATTTTTTTTACTTTGCAGTATACAACAAAAGTACCTCAAACTCGAATAATCTTTATTACGTCGCATTGATTAATTAATTTATTAATTCTATACCTAATGCTAATTCGTAAGTCGAATTCCCGTGAGAAGAATCTCTAGGGCTTGCTCTTTGTAAATAAACATTGTACATATTTATCATTTACAATATTTATTTCAAATATCATAATGGATATAACCTGCAAGAGCTACCTAAATGGGTCACTACCATGGTTTTTTTGTCAACCAGCTGCACAGAGGCGGCCGCGGAAGCTTTCCGGGCGCGGGAATGTTTGTAATGTTACGACTTCATAAATGAATCCTACCACACTAACGCGCGGTGGCCTGAGCATTAGTGTTAAATTTTTGTCTCACTATAATAATAATAATAATAACGCACACACTCAACATAGCCCCGCACTAGGGAAACCCTGTGTCGCGGGTGCCATGGACACACACATAGACAACCACAAATTACACCCAAACTCACGAGAGAAATAAATGTAGGCCATACACATATTTCTCCCGGCCTGGGAATCGAACCCAGGACCTCTGCATGGCAGTCCGGCATGGTAACCGTTCGGCCTCAGAGGCAGTTTAAACCTCGTAGAATTTTATTGTAGAATCATAATACAATGTCCTTTAAAATAATTTGTGGCATTGTTAAGACGACAGTCAACAATAGCCAGTTTGTTATTATTCTCCTATTAATGTTATAGTTTTACTAGTGTTTTTCGTAAAAAAAATTCTATTCTTTTTAACATAAATTGTATTTTCATAAAATATAGTGTGACCCTAGTGTAAGAATGCGAATTTCTTTAAATTTATCTCTGGGGCCCGGATTGTAAATCGTCCCAACCACACATTGTCGCAGGACAAACATTCTAACAATGTTAACGGCATTATACCCGAAAGCTAAATGAACAAATTGTGAAAGCGCAGTTAAAGTAAACCAATGTAGCGGTTTCCATGTCTGAAAGATTTCACATATTTTTAATCGCGTACATTGCATAACTGAATCGTTGTGGGCCCCATTGCAATGCAGAAGTTATATCCAAAAATACAACTATATCGTTAAGGTTAAATTTTTCTTTTCTAACTATAACGTTTGTAACCGTCTGTCTAAATTACTGAGTAATGTAATGTTCACAAAATTTGTTATTTTCACTTTTTTTATAATACCAAGTGATGGAACGAACAATTCACGCCTGCCCATAGCAGTTGCAGGGCCACTCAGAACTTTAAAACATAAAGGAGCAGGTTATTATATGTAAAACCAATCTACTACTACTCTTACAAATAACATTGTTCACATTGTCATAGCAACGCTAGAAAGTATCATCAGCAAACATTAATATTATCTCATGTTCTCATGGATGATATATCTTCATGAGGCTAAGGAAGTCATTAATATAAACTGAAAATAAAAATGGACCTAGAGTGGAACCTTGAGGCACGCGCATGCTAATTGCAGATCCTGGATATCTCGTATCGTTAACATTGATCCTCTATACCTAATCAGTCAAATACAATTTTTTTGTAGAAGGACGAAGTCACGGTCCACAATAATGGCAAAGTTTTTTGACCGGAGTGTCATGGAACACATAATTAAATGCCTTGAAAAGGCCACCAATAGCATCATGTGAGTGTTACCATGCATTAAATATACGTTTCATCAACGCAACAGTAGTATCAGTTATTGAGCGACCCCGAGTGAAAACAAATTGTTTAGGAGACATTAAGTTACTACTGTAAAAATGTGTACACAGCTGATTAAGAAGTTTTTTTCGAGCATATTACTGAAAATTAGAAGTCCCTATTGAAATAGCTCTGAAAGTGGTGGAGCCCAAATTACTTCCAGATTGAATTTCTGAAAGATTTGAATAACCATTTTTTGATTAAAATTACGTCACAGTTAAGAGGGAGCAGAGGAAAAATTCCTAATCTTCGATTTGATTTTAGAGGGGTATATCCACTTTAAAGTTAAAAATAAAATATTGTATGAGTAACTACACGATATATTCAAGCATAGACACTAATCAGAAACATAAAACAATAAAGTTTCCTCGATAGATAAAAATCACGAAATTACCTCCAATTTTCACATTTTTTCCATTCATCCTCGAAATGCTACAGGTTATTAGGACAAAAATTAGATAATTAATTATATTTATGCATGATCGAGAACTGTCACTACGGATTTTTTTTAATCCCTTTAGTTTTAGAGTTATTCCGCTAAAACGAATTTGGTACTTTTAATGCGCAAAATTCAACATCTCCTGTCGCATGTCACGCGAACTTCAGGCATATATTTGTTTCACAAATTTGGGCGGAGCCAGCGTCAAAACTTTTTTGGCATGCTCCCTCTTAAACACACTAGTAGTTACTATAAGTCATTCTGTTAGCGCAGCCGTTGATACACTTAATTTTTAATGTTGTGTAATAAACTGGCAAGGCCCATCATAAGAAGAAGGTAAACATCGTGTCTTTTTTAGGCTAATTAAGTACATACTTACCTATCCATAATTTAATTTCGCAAATGGATTGCCGGCCGACACAAGGTAGTGCTTTTCAATATTAAGTTAGGTTTACAGCTCCACAGCTATTACAACTTTCAAACTGACCTATAACGCAGTTACTACTATTCTCCTGATTTCATTCAATAATTATTTAGCCGACCTTTCGTTTATTGAATATGTGAACAATGCCTTTATGCTGGGGCAAAATTACCCTGTCTTCCCGCGGTGAAGAAGGTAACCGACGCTATTAATATTTATTACTCGACGTTCCTCCGTTGCTCTAGGCAACATTTTATGTATTGGATATTTCAGGATAGCTATTTTTAGATGATTGCTTTTCCATAGTCATCCATATAAGCAGGGGGTGTAACAAAAAGGCGTATCACATTTCAAGGTCATGTTCAGTTAATGGTGTGTAACACATTTACATTGTTATTTGACTCCCCGCTGTTATTTACGAAAATTTCAGGTTGCAAAATTTCGTTCAGCAAACCTTTTATCAAACTGTAGTAATACGTTACAATATTGTGAAGGGATTTATTATATTAATGAAGCCGGAAAGTTAGCGGCTGCAAACTCGTTTTCTTTAATTAAAAGTATAGATAAGTCTGAGCCACTATTTTAAACAGTTTTTTTTTTTCATTCCGATACTGAGAGCTTTTTATTAGTGTCTAACCAACTCACCTTAGCATTAGCCTGTTCCAAGAGCATACTTCTTAGTTTCTCCTGCTGAGCGTTTTCTTCCACAGCTTTCATGTTCTGCGCGTAATGCGCTCGAAGGTAATCGATGTTGAACTTTATTTCTTGTAAGAAAGCGATTGCTTCTTCCTTGCTCATCTGTGGAAATAATTATCCAGTCAAAAGTCTTCTCAGTCTTAGAAAATATTCACCAGCATCTCTTTACAGAACGTAGTCTATGTTCAAACAAGATTAGTTTTTATCTCAACAGCTTCAAGAATATTCCATATTTTACTCCCACATTTTGCTCTCATCAAAGTAATTCACCCGTGTCATCGCATTTAAGCTTAGGGCTCAAAGAACAGAAATGCCAAAGACAAAATTAACTGATCTAAGGATTATCCCAGAAGTAACACAAGGCTTTAAGTCTTTAAATATAAAGAAAATATATTTAATACGTCGGAATATACAAATTCCCTTTAGTTAAGAATAGAATAGAATAGAATCATTTATTTCATATTATCAATTTCATAATACCTTAATTCGAAATATAATGTCAAGGGATAACATGATCGTCATTAAGGTAAATAATAATTTTAATGTTAATATGAAATAAAATAATTAAAAGACAAATTAAGACAAATACGAACTACAAAAATACAAATAAAATTTTATATATTTTCAAAATACAAACGTCCAAAATTAAAAATATAATTACAATTTTTTTTAAAGAAATTCCTCTACACTGTAGAATTCATTATCCAATAAAAGGTCTTTCAGTCAGGAACAAAACACTTCGTCATTTTTAACACTTTTTAGACTTGTGGGTAGGTTCGTAAAATCGGGCCCCGGTTACTCGCGGATCTCTCGTTGCGAGTTCGATTAAATTTTGAACAAAATATATTTAAGACTTTCGGTGTCTACTCTAGGAAATTGTAAGAGGCAACCGAATTCTACACAAATGTAAACATCATAATTAAGAACAAAAAAGCACCTATCTACGAATAGATATATTTAATAGACATATCAGTAGAGCTTTGCACTTTCATAATATTGGATTACGTCGTTTATTTTGCTGGATATTGGTTTCACTATGTTTCGGCACTAGAAGGGGAGCATAAAACCCCTTATAATCCCTATGGGAACGTAGGAAATTTACAGCATAGCGCAGCCTTGAAGGGATAATAAGTAATCTAGTATCAACTTCATGGTCATGTCTCTAAGGATCTGCTATACGAATTAAGTAGGAAAGAAACACAGACAAGGTCTGACTGATATTTTGTAAGAGATTATGGAGTTTATTAACTTTTATAAGTTGTGAAAGAGTATATGGTTATGCCAAAGGAAGGCCCTAACCTTGTCAAAAATAAAAATAATATGATTGCCCATTCGTGAAATAACTGTTTAATCTCAAGTTTTGATTAACTGGAACTTTACTTTCATAAACAAGAAAACTGTAGTCGCTGAGGAACGGTTTCTTCCCTTGAGCCGTGTGTCCTGATGCTACAAACTAAGCTTAATGTCAACTCCAAGTGATATCACGCCTACGCTTGTTACGCTTCGTAGGTAGATACGTACCAATCCGTCCTGAAGGAAGTCTTCAATAGCCGTAGTGACCCCGCGCTCGTCGCCAGTCCAGAATACATATTCTGCCATGTCAAGAGGGGAATACTGGACACCGGCGTAAGAGGCGTAGTGATCCATCTGAAAATAATTTTATTTGTCGTTAGCCTATTGTCTCACTGGAGGGCAAAGGCGTCTCCGTGTTCCAGTCATCACGATGCTTAACAGCTTCTGAACAATGGAGCCGACTTACTTCAAATATCCGGGCGTTCGTTGTGTAACGTTTTTGGCCCACTTTTGAGAGTGTATGTGAGTGAGTCTCAGAAACCAAAAGTAAAAATTTGTATATCGATCATTTTCACTTTTTTGTGGGAAATGCTTCATTTATTTACAAAATCAAAATTATCAAATTGTTAGTTAGGACTGTACTTGTACTTAGGACCAATCGATGTTGACCATTAATTTGAAATTATAAATCATAACTTTAAAATCACAAATTTTTGCTGTTACTTCTTCACAAAACCTTTTGTGGTATATTTTAAATTCTTTGAACTGATAGTTCATTACTACGGATCGCTCTTCTTTAGTTATAAAGGTTCATACGAAATACCATAATTTTTCTTTATATTTAAATACGATATTTCTGTATATTTTCACTTAATTATGTTACTTGAAGAAAGATAGAAAAAAGACTAAACATACATTCAATTCAAAAATTCAGAATGAGTAAAATAATTCGAAATGCATTAAAGAATAATGGCTCGAGGTCTGGTCCTTGAAGAACTCTAGAATTTAAGGATAAAAATGGGTTTGACATGAAGCCTTCAACCTAAGAAAGAAATTCCTATTTCGATGTTTCAAGCATTTGGATTTGAAACAAATGACGGTTCGGAGCTACCAATTTATTAGTGCGGTTTATAATCTTGGTACCTACTAAAGTAGTGTACCTAAATGTTCTTACACGAACATGGTTTCAGTGCTGATATCAACTGCATATTAACTTGGCAATGTCAACACGTCGAGACAAATTGATGCTACGAAAGTGCTACGAGAGGATATTGACAGATATTACTTTCCGAGACATTGACAGTGAATTTCGTGTCACGAAATTGCATCATTCTCTAGATATATAAAGATACGAGAAAGCAATTTTTATTATACTAGTGCTTTCTTAACAAAATGCCTTATAAAAGGAAATACAATATTCTATGACTTGATTCAATCTAATACAACGTAAAAATCCCGTGTTTTTAAATAAGTATTACTTATATAAAAACAATTACTCATAAAAAACAACAGCTTGTCAGTAAGTAATTTCACTTCAGAACATAATGTTACATCTTTACTACGCTTGATGCTTGATTAAATCTGAACGTGCTTTTACCTCTAACTTAATGACTTAAGTTTCGCTGTTAAGTGCACATCCATAAAGCGGTTCTAAAGCTGAAGTTAGAAATTAAGACTGTTTTACGAGGGGCCCATAGTATTTTATTAGTTAGCAATAAAACTAGTTTCCCAACATGCAACGTGCAGCGTTTGACTGGAGAATATTATTTGTACCTTGATACAAGTAGCTTCAACAACTTCTAAAGCAACCTTTGTTTTTATTTATTACATATTACTTAATTAGTGAGATGTGTTGTCACATGTTCACAAAGGTAAAAATGACGGAATGGAAACTCATCTGTGGTCTCTAAGGACCCAGGATTTCCACAGCAAAATACACAGAGTTGTAGCCCGAGATCAGTATTTGAGCTTTTTGTGGAGCGAACGCTCTCGCGGTGGAGCACGCGCCATTTTTTTTTACTTTTGTGGACACGTGAAAACATATCTTAATACGGTTGTTTAAGAAGTCTACGGTCTGCCTCGTTGAAGCTTCCGGTGACCAAATTATTGGAAGCTACTTCAGCCAAATAATAAATAAATAAGTAATTGAGTAGGTAATTAGAGCAACTGAGTTATCAATATCGGAAACAACGACGGTATCATAAACACTCAGACCCGAGACAATATAGAAGATTTCTATTTTTACCCGGCCGTGAAAACCGGCGTGTAAGCCACTCGAGCACGGTGTTCGTCATTCAAAGAATTAACTTAGCTATCCCAATGGCCAACCTTACTTAGCTCTCGATGCAACTTTCTACTTTAACTAGATGACCTAAAGACAATTCCAATTTCTTTGCCATTCTTCCGTTTTTTTTTTAATTTTTACATAAAATTACACTTGTAACTCTCTAGATAGTACAGGATATTTAATAAAGTTTACTATCGATGTGGTAAAATCAAATTTAGATTCAGGTGAATTATGAATTGTGGTGATAAAGCACAATTATTTCCTTTATGAAAACAAAAGCTTACTCTTAAGCTCGGTTAACGCCATAACGGCGTTTTATGGGGTAAGCCAAATTCACGTTATGCTTAATGTAGTTCATATTCTTAGTACAATAATAAAATATAAGCAATAACTCTTACATTGTTTTTCGTCTCCTTAGTGATATCAGCGTTGAAAGATCGTCGGGAAGCTGTGTGTCCGTTCTGAGGGTTGTTGGACCCGGAGCCTGCTTGGATCAGCCTAGCTGCTCCGTGGAATACCTGGTAATAATTGAATAAATATGTAATAACATCCAATTTTTATTATAATTTGCTAGAAGGGAAACTAGTTACATAACTAGAAGAGATCTTCATCTCTAACGATCTTGACACGTTATTACCTACGTGTTAATCGGCTATGATATTATGATTATCAATATTCCGACTAAACCCAAGTATAAAGGTACAAGTACATACTCGTCTTTATTCAGGGCTTTCAACACAAAGACATCTATTCTATTCGATCTAATCTAATTGAATCTGATGTAATTGAAAGGCTAGCTAGTTCTGATGTTAGTATTAGATTCCGATGTAATACTGTCCGAGAAACGATACTCGAGTATCGCTGTCGTCCTAGATATCCCGCCATACAACTGGGTTATTTCAATGAACACAACGCGTTATTTTATAAAATATCACATGGTGCCCATTTTACACAACAACTTTTATTTGTGTATGTTTTAATAACAATTAAAGGAACTATAAAAGCGCGGAATTAAATAAAAAGAATTAAGAAATAAGAAGAAAAAAATAATAAAACGAATTGCGGATCATAGTTAATAACAAGTCTAAAAATATTTAAAAAAAACCCGACTGCAAAAAATTTAACTGGAAAGATAAAAAAAAATAATCCCGTCCTCACTATTTTTTATAGCCTATGACTCTTCCACACTCAAGACGAATCTAACCACACCGCATATGTCAAAATCCATCAAGCCCACATCAAGGTGTTTAGGCTGTACCTACAGCGTGAAAAAGAAATGGACATACATACACTTAAACTATATAACCTGATGAAGTGACGATAAATATTATTGCGCTACCAGGTGTCTATACTTAAAGCTTACTGCCAGACCTTTTATACCTGCAACCTACGGATCAACTACACCCAGAAAGCTCTCTGTTCCCTAAGAGTTGTGTATAATATATTCCGGATGCTCTTGCGGTTGCCGCGATTCTCTAGCGCTCGCTGATGAAATATAGATGGGTTTGTTCGAAAACGAGTGGTGTCTTTGACGCGCAGAATGCGTGGCAGCAGTAACAATCTCTTGACTATCATTGCTGGTCACGTTCAGATTTCGTTCCTTGAACATTGACCAAACTTCATGTGTACCCCATAGTGTGTACTTATAATTACTAACACCAGTATGTAAATTTGTATTGTTCATTGACCAATATGTCTTGTCAGAAATAAAATATTTGAATTTGTATTAAGATTATCTATTTCTGCCGTGAAATATTAGGCTGCCTTTCCACCAGAGATGTGCTTCAACAACACCTTTAATATTAAGGTAGGTAAGGTGGGTATTTCAGAGATGTTTGTCAATTTCTTTCAGGGTAAAATAATAGATTATATTATTTCTATTCTCGACCAGATAATAAAGACAAACTTAACAAAAGGATAAACTTTCCTATTTTATTTTTTTTCCTATTTTTATTGGCTACGGCGTTACTATAACGTGCTCGATGTTTATAGTCCCGAGTCCAAAGATAACTCACGGACTTTTTTGGCAAGTTGAAGATTATTTCATCTTTACCCTCCGTTAGTTAAGCATAAAGACCAGACTTTCAACAGTATAGTAGTAACTCCTATTGTAACACAATAACTTTAGCAACGTTTTTAACAATAGTTCCGAAGTTTACCGCTAGATGGCATTAGCAGAGAAAACACGATTTCTGAATCGCGATGTTAAGATCCTGTCACTAGTATTTTGTATAAAATTGATCTATTTTTCTACTTGTCTACAGTTATTGTTGATGTATTCAACGATTGCATTTCTACGGTTATCATCATTACTAATGAAGGGACAAGTTACAAGAACTAACACCTCTGAATAAGTGTCTTTTTGTAAGATCAAGATATAACATTCGCACCCACCCGGACTTGTCGTGGACTCTACGCCACGCCTGTATCCAACAGGACGAATCCCTTTTATTGGACACACTTGTAAGCCTATTGTAAACTTCTGTACAATAAACCACGTCATCTTCACCGAATTGCGTCGTTTGATACCTGGATGAAGTAAGGGGGCACCAGATAGCCACGCAAACCTCTACCGCCCTTTACACCCGTCCTACTACACTATATCATAATTAAAATTTAATAAAAATTTGAAAAGATAAGCTATTGATTAGAGAGGAAACGGATATCCGTTAACTATCCGGTATTCGGCCTATCTTTACTATCCAGCCGGATAGAAGAATAATTGACCAGGTAAGTATTACCCTATTACTTACTTACCTATTAAATTCTAATTACGCGAGCAAGTGGCGGGCAGAGCTAAAGAAATTGTACACTTGTTAAAGAAGAATCGGCTTGAGCCGGCCAAAAAAGTTTTATTTATTTAAATTTTTAGTATTAATAAGGATAATTCTGATAACGACATGTGCATGTTTTGACGAAAAAACATCCGGTATATCGTTTTGTTATTTGTTATAAAACTCACTGCGTCTCCTTACAAGAATTTAACCTATAAAATTAATAATATACCTACTTATTTTTCAAATAATTATTTTTAAATCCATATTTAAGTAAGTATTCGTTATCATTTTTTCTATTTGATGTAATGTACCTAACCTATTAGATTCGTATATAGACTGGGAACACACATAAAAATATATATAGTTTTTAAATATTTGGAAATAATCTTTGTTATTTTTTTATTATATTTTTAATATGTGTGATAAAAAATTGTTTAAATGTATTTGTACATTGATCCTATTACCCCGAGGTTTCCCGGAAAATTGCTTTCTACGAATAAGTCCTCTGACTTCGGAAGAGAGAAAGGCACAAGCAGAAAAATTATATGCCTCCTATTACCTTTTTACCTATTACCTATTAATAATTTATGAAAATTTTCTAGATTTTGTTTTATAAAAACAGTACAGAGTACTAAAA